TTTCTTTTTTATTCTCTCCTTCTTTCGATGTGTTTGTATTGATGAGAGTCTGCGTGTGTGTGTGTGTATGCGTGTGTGTGTGTATCTCTGTGTGTGTGTGTGTGTGTGTGTGTGTGTGTGTGTGTGTGTGTGTGTGTGTGTGTATGTGTTTGTACAGGTGTGCTTTATTCCTTTTTCCTCATTTATTTACTGTTTCATACTTCTCTCTTTTTTCCGACGCACCAATTCGCTTTCCCCTTTTCTTAATCAAAATAAATGTATAAACATTTCATTCTTCTACAGGTTGTCAAGGAGCTGGTGGCCATTTTCCCGGTCCTCAGGGATTGGATAGCAGAGTTCCTGCAGCAGAACAACCTGATGGTTTCCTCTGAGATTGGCCACAACATGCTGATAGAACAAGTAATGAAGATAGTTTATAGTGGTGGCACACAAGAAATGACGATAGTTTGAAGTGGTGGCACAGAAGTAATGAAAATAGTTTATAGTGGTGGCACACAAGAAATGAAGATAGTTTATAGTGGTGGCACTTTTCACAAATGTTACACCCTGTGTTCAAATATCATTCAGGGACGATATATCGCTAGCAGTAAGTTGTCCAAATATACTAGGCCCAGAAAGCAACGTGTTTCAGGAGAGAGAAAATGCTGTTTCATTCATTTAACAATTTTACCTACATTATTTACGCATAGTTTTTATTGTCTGTTATCAACATTAAGAATATTAACTATTATTTTTTAGCACAATTAGTAACTGATTTTACAAGTTAAGAAACCGCAAATTGTAAAAATTGCCAACTGTGGGCTTCTGTGGTTTAACAGTTAAACTCATCTGTTTCCGCATGCCAGGAACGTGACGTCAATTCTAGCTTCATCTATCTGTTGTGACGTGATATCTCACTCAGCCAACTTTGGCCTGACAACCATGGTAAAAGCGATCCTTATCTGAAATGATTTCGGTAGGGTTGAATTTGGGAGGGGGGGGGTGATAATGCAGGTGTCTTAACGTCCCGTCCGACACAATTTAAATCATTTAGGAGGTGGGCTTCGACCCTGGTGGTTCGGGTCAATCCGGGCTGAGAGGAATACAGTGCCCCAATAGAAAGATCGAGTTACTCGATAAAATTTCTCCCCAGACGGGAATCGAACTCACATCATCTTCGTCCTACGGTGAAGCGTGCAAGTTGGTTTGTTTAATAAATTTGATATATATAATTGCTCCTCCGTCAATATCTGGAGATGATCAATACACCCTTTGAAGAATTAAAGATTACAATGACTTGCGGCTTCAGCTGTGGCCGATGAGACCAATTCTAGCAGAGAAAAGTTTGCCACATTTTGAACATCTAAAGGCTCCGCTTCCACTTGAGGATAATAATTACATCAGAAACAAAAGTGTTTACTGCGGCTTTATGACCCCAGGTTCTCCGGCTGCTCTACCATCTGGTCAAGTTCGGCTACTACATGGACGCAGAGGACGTGAGCCAGCTGTTGCCTCCTATGTTGTGTCTGCTGGACGGGAGACACGACGTGCCCTACCCTAAAGACAAGGACAAAGGTAACGTAACGATAGTGTGCTGCATCCCAATTCATGAATCATTTATCACGAAACGGACGGACTAGTCATTGAAATTTTTCTATTTTTTCTTAAAGTTCATGTAACGTAAGGATATGCTACATTCCAATTCATGAATCATTTATCACAAAACGGACGGACTTGTAATGGAGGTTTGTCTATTTCTTCTTCAAGTTCCTCATTTGAAGCAAAAGAAGAACATTAAAGATCCTTTTAGACATTAGCTCATCTCTGCTTCGATTGTAAATTATGTGTCATAATGGATTCTTCAAGTCCCACAAAGAGCTACTGTGCCTGGTTTGCCTATATTATCCTAGAACAACACTGCCCCGATCATCTGTGTCCCACACTCTTTGAAGTAGGGAAGTATGACATTATTCTCTCTCTCTCTCTCTCTCTCTCTCTCTCTTTCTTTCTCTCTCTCTCTCCCTCTCTCTCTCTCTCTCCCTCTCTCTCCCCTCTCTCTCCCACCCCCTCTCTCCCCCTCTCTCTTCCTCTCTCTCTCTCTCTCTCTCTCTCTCTCTCTTCCTCTCTCTCTCCCCCCCTCTCTCTCTCTCTCCCTCTCTCTTCCTCTCTCTCTCTCTCTCTCTCTCTCTCTCTCTCTCTCTCTCTCTCTCTCGCTAGGATAGATATATATATAATACTCTGTTGTCTTCCTCAGGTTATTCCAAAGAGGCGATGAAGCAGGTCCTGCAGTTCCAGCACTCGGACAGATACGAGAAGGCTGCGGAAACAGAAGCCATTGTCAATGCCAAGTTCCAGTAAGTCACTCATTAAAATAGTATTTAAAGATTATCAGTGGGTGGTTTGCGGGGGCTCTGGTGTGGTTTGCTTCTTCCTTCCTATCAAACATATATCGTCTTTATCTCCCCTCCTTCTTTTTTTGTGTTTGTTACTCCCTTATAACACCTCTAATCTTCGGCACTGAAATGACTTTATTGTGTTACAAGTGCCGTAAAACACTAAAATAAAATTTTAAAATGATCATAACAGTATACGTCCACATTGACACCTTCATTAGGAGGCGGGCTGCTCAGACACTGCCTGTCAGGGAAACACGAACAGAGTAGGATACAATATCGGAGGCAGAAGGACGGAGAAGCTCAAAAATGAAAGGATTTTGATCATCCATGCCAACTGTAGAAACAAATGCACACAAAATTGCACACATAACTGCACACATAAACTTCACACAATAGCACGCCTGCGTACGTGCGCATGCACACAAACGCACACTCATACATATACAAGCATACGTGCATTTAAACGCACGCAATCACGTAAATGTGCACACACATGCACTCGCACACATACAAGCACGCAAGCATAGACATACATGAATGCCCTCCCTTCCTCCTCCTTCTCCACACACACACACACACACACACACACACACACACACACACACACACACACACACACACGCACACACACACACTCATACACTCACACACGCGCGCACACACACACACAAACACACACACACACACACGCACACACTCATACACTCACACACACACACACACACACACACACACACACACACACACACGCGCGCGCGCGCGCGCACACACACTCATACACTCACACACACACACACACACACACACACACACACACTCATACACACACACGCACACACACTCATACACTCACACACGCGCGCACACTCACACAGGCACACACACAAATTCACTCAGCTCTCACTTACACAAGCATTCATGATATTACTAGGCCTAAACAAATAACCTACAAGGCCACTACTTTTCCCATTACAATTCTTGATTTCTTCAAACTTTGCTCAAGTCTCATTTCAACTGTTCTCAAAGAAATGTGTGAAGCACTGCGTTGGCGGTTGAATCGGTACAAAACGAACGAAGAAACTCAAGTCCGAAATATAATTTAGTTAAGGGGAGAGCAATCAAGATTTAGAACAAGCTTCGAGGGCGGGTACAAGAGAATACTCTCCCTTCTTGTTTACTTTGTCTGTGAAAGTCGGGAAATTCCCAGCGTTATTTCGGGGTTTTTTTCTTTTTAGTTTTTACTTTGTTGGGGTCTAGTGGCCTCCTTTTTATATCTTGCTCTTCTTTTGCTGGGTTTTTTGTGGTTTTTGTGGTTTTTGTTTATTTTTCTATTGTGTTTTAAAAGGGGTGGGGGGGGGGGGGGGGGGTTAATCGCATATAAGATATTTTCTATCGTTTTCTCTTTTTCCCCTTTTTATCTGAAGTGTATTCTATTTTGTAATGGGAAATACTGATTTTTATTAACGTAATTTTGCTACGCAACACCCCCCTCCACCATCCCCTCTCTCCTCCTCCCTCCCCATTAGCCTCTTTCCTCTCACTCTGCCACTTGCTCATCTTGTCTTACTCTCCCCTTCTTTCCTCTCTTTATCTGATCCCCTCCCTGTCTCTCTATCTCTCTGTCCCTCTGTCTCCCCCCTCTCCCCCTCGCTCTCCCCCATCCTTCCTCCCTCTATCTCTCCCTCTCTCTCTCTCTCTCTCTCTCAGCGTGTTCTTGGTGTGTACGTCTGCTCTGTGCTTGCAATAACCACAACGCTCTGACAACTGACAGTATGAATTCGTCATTATTAGTACATTTGTTCGAATTTGAATATATGATAAAATACAATTCTTCATTTACCAGTGTCTTGTTTCTGTTTTCAATTCTGTTTGCAATTCTGATACATAGAAAAACATAACTCCAGAGTAGAAACCAATGTCATTTGACTTCACTCACTTTAGCCTGTGAACAGTAACAGGGTATTCTAAGCAGGGCAGTCTTTGTGCAGGACTTGGTGTGATTGTAGGTAGTAGTTATTGTTATTATTATTGTTTATTATTGATTTGGTGTTGTTGTTGTTGTTGTTGTTGTTGTTATCGTTTGTTGTTTTTGTTTTCGTTTTTGTTGCTGTTGCAGTTGCTGCTTTTGCGGCTGCTTTTGTTGTCGTTGTAGTTTTGTTGTTAAAGCGTCAATTTTCAACTTATGTTCACAGCTGCAACCAATGTTCTCTTTTTATCGAAATGAAGTGAAAGCACTTGGTAACGTTTCCTCCTCTGTTAAATTAATCTCCACTAATACTGAAAAATTTAATGTACATGCCATGAAAGTCTCATTTTTGCGGTTACACTTTCAGAGCTCTAGAGGTCCTCGATCTTCTGCTCACCTACAGACGAAACTCAAGACTCCAGGTAACAACAGCACAACTGGCGACAATAAAAATCATTTCATGAGTTCTTTGACGCGAAACTAAACATACTGGTCAGAAATCTTGATGTTCCATTTTTTTCCACGGTTTGCTACCGGTTTGCACAGTTATATCTCCTCAGTACCTAGTTTTGAGAAACTCAAAGTCAAAAATGTTTAGTTTCACAACATGTCTTTTTCGAATGCAATTCTTTGAATAGCCTGATAATGATTCCGAATAACCTTACGATATAGGATATAAAACATTTGATTTCTGACATCATTGTATTAATAACTCAGAACGGTCAAATATGTCAGTTAAAACTTTGTAATTGTGAAGTAGCGAGTTGTCTTTTATTAGGACTCTTTCTAGTTGCCCCTTCTGTTTACAAGTTTTCGTGGGGATTGCTTTACTTTCCAGAAGTGGGGAATGGTGTGTCCCGCTTCTGCTTGATTTTCAAAACGTGGCTTTCCCTTTTCTTCATGATGTTCTCATATGGCTAAGCTACAGTATTTTGTCTCTCCTTTTCAAAACACTCACTGCATATGGCTGCTTGGCAACGTTAATTACCTCTAAGCTTGTATTAAAATGATTTGTCCTTAAGTCCAAGACACATCTGAAGGATTTAGTTTTGAAAAGCGTTCACCTTGACATTGTGAAGGTCATGTCTTCTGAACCATATAACCTTGATGTAGTTGTTATATATTTAAGATATTGACTTACAGTAGCCCGGAATACCTGGAGATGTCATCCGTGACTCATAGGTTTACGTGTAAAGACATGCCTTTGTTTACGGTCGTCAGCTGCGCGTGTGCATTTTATCAAGCCTAGATCCTACTATGACGTCATCGGTCCACATTATGGTTTGTCCACCTTCAGCCTGTCTACTCCTTATAGTGCCTTCGAGTATGTTCTTCATCATTCTAATAACATATCAATATATCTGGTTGGCCTGTGTTGGTCATAGTTTTGTCTCTGTTTTTGTTTCTTTTCTGTTTAATATCAAAACAACATATTATGTGTCACGACGCGGTGAAATCAGGTGCTCGTTAATTTTTGGCCATTTCGAGCTATTGGTACAAGCTTAGGGTTTGCCCATTTGTATTGCTTTGGATTAAAAAAATACCCATCTATCTTGAATAGAAGTCGGGATATTGCGATTGCAGGAGGCGGGTCGCTATGTTTCAGGGGCAGAATTAGCGAAAAAATGGCCGACAAAATGTTGTGACCTGCATAGTCCTAGGAAACTGAAAACTTATATTTTGTATGCCGTAAATCAACATTTTCTGCAAAATCTACACTGCAATGCATTTGAAATGAACATAATAGATTTTAAACAGTTGCGAAACTGGCGGGGAAATGGCTGCTTGGTTTCATCATTTTGACGAGTGCCTGATATCACGGCAAAGCCACACATATACCTTTTAAAAAAATCAAAATACACAAATCAATCCAAACGTTTGACGTAGAACATTAAGTAAGTACTGTTGTTGTTGTTTTTCATCGTACCCAGAGCTTCGTGGGCAAGTTCAAAATAGCAGAGCAAGCTGTTGCTCACCGGAAACAGACACACGTGCTGAGCCCGTTGCTTTACGACACCTTCAACCCACACGACCAGACCAAGTGAGTGACGTCTGCCTACTATTATCCCAAGCGTTGTCGTCTTCACCACTGCCTTTCTCACCTTACATCACGACATAGCCTAGACCACGAAACCGGGCGTATTATTCCAAATTAAATGTATTTATAGGGAAGTCGGTGTCTTAATTGGCTCCTGTTTAGTTTCGGGATACCATCACGATAGAATATCTTATTAACAGTTCGGTTGTTGGGAAACATTAGATGGAAATTTGTCAGTTTGTTAGTGTTTGAGCGCTTAACCAGCTGCTTGCACTGTATGCTTCCCGGGAAGCTGAGAATGTTTCGGAGTGTTCTATGGTCTGCTGGGGTAATAATATAGTGTAAAGCGCATAGAGCCTGCTGTTGAGCGGGGATATGCGCTATACAAATGCTATCTATTATTATTATTATTATTATGGAAATTTATAAGGGAGTGTTTGAAATGTTGACCGAAGCCATTGTCTGGGTATGGGAAGTAACCAAATCAAATGTCGTCAACATGCGCAAGTTTTAATTTGAAAAGTTTTCAAATTTATTTCTTGTGATTGTGATGCGGACTGGGGGTGCTTTATTTGGTGTGTACTTTGCCTTGAATTTGTCTTTCATTTTACCACCTAAACTGTTCCAATGAACACAATCTCAAGATTTGGTTTCCCGTCTCAATGACTTATTGATGTCTCTGTAGCTTTATGTAATGGGATGTGTTTGTGTGTGTGTGTGTGTGTGTGTGTGTGTGTGTGTGTGTGTGTGTGTGTGTGTGTGTGTGTGTGTGTGTTTACTTGTAAATATAACAAGAAAGAAAGAAAGAAAGAGAGAGAGAGAGAGAGAGAGAGAAAGAGAGAGAGAGAGAGAGAGAGAGAGAGAGAGAGAGAGAGAGAGAGAAAATTTAGGGGTGGGGGTGTGAGTTTGTTAAGGGTATGAGGAGGGAGGAAGGATGAGGTGGAAAACGAGGTGCACACAGACGAACAGCAGAAAGTAGATTTTTATCGAAAACCTGCGTTTACTGTTCAATTATAATTAGCTTGTGTCTTCGCTGTGTCATCAGAAAATGTGTTCGCAAACAACGACAAGTTATCAAAGAGATGAGAGACATGTTCAACTCTTCTGC